TATAATTTTAAGTAAAGTGTGAAGTTTGTAAGAGTGTATGATTGTGTTAACAGGGTTAACTTACCCTTACCCTTACCCTTCATTAATTTTTTTTTTTCAGATACTGTTACTACCATATTCACATATACATATACATAGTAAGCATTCACTGCATATAACTACATTTGTATTTTTTTTTTACTGTTTAGGGATTTCAGAGAAAATTGTAATTATTTGGGTTAGTTTGTTTGTTGTTCATTTGTGTATTGTGATTCAAGTTTTGGATTTTGGATTTCAATTCATAGTTTGTTTATACTTTTCTTTTGAGTATTTGGTTTTTGGACTTTGATTTGATTTGGTTTTTGAGTCTTGGATCATATTTATAATGGTTTAGTTTGTCTTGTGTTTGTCTTGTGTTTGTATTTTGTCTTGTGTTTGTCTTGTCTTGTGTTTGTTTTTTTTTGTCTTTGTATTTGTCATTGGTTTGATTTTTATTTCAACCAGAGTTTTGATTTGAGTTTTGTGTTTCAAAGTTGTGTATTTTGGTTTTGCAACTTTGTGAGTTGGATTTAATTTGGAGTTTGAGTTGATTTTGAGTTTGAGTTTGGACTTGGAGTTTATTTTGATATTCGTATTTTGGTTTGTAGTTTTGCTTTTGTGATTTGTGTTTATTTTGGGACAATTAATGTAAACTGTTGACATTATTTGTGTTTACATCTGGCATTTGAAATTTATATTGTGTATTGTGTTATAACTGTTCAAAATGGCTTCAAAAGGTGAACGTATTACTTTCAGAGAAGAGGAAGTTTCAGAACTTTTGGGAATTAAACCTAAAGCTGGTAGTAAAGAAGAATTAAATTCTTGGATCTTGGATTATGCAACACAGCAATCTAAGGGTACTGAAGAGTCAACTTTCAAGTTAGCCTCAGCTACTGAATCCAAATCAGAGGATGTCAGGATTTTGCCGCATTTACCTAGACTATCCTTCTTTTCTCAGAAGTCACATGTCAGTTTCGACATCTGGAAGTTTGAGGTAGAGGAGTTAATGAGATCCAATCATAGAGATGATTCCATTAGACAGGCAATCTTTAGTTCACTTAAGGGACCTGCAGGCCGAGTTGCAATTCGTTTAGGACACTCTGTATCTATCTATAGATTAGTGACCAAACTAGAAGGCATTTTTGGCAAGGTAGAGGAAACTCAGGATATATTAGCAGAGTTTTATGCATGTAAACAGAAAGAGAAAGAGTCTGTTGCTGAATGGAGTTGTAGACTTGAAGATCTTCTACAAAAGGCTTTAGATTCTGATGAGATTTCACCATCGTCTAGCAATGATATGCTTAGAACACGTTTTTATAGTGGCTTCAGATCCACAATTACGATGCCACTCGCTGCTTCGAGGACTTCGTCATAGAAGTCAGAAGAGTGGAACACGAACTTGGGGTTAGTACATCGTCAACCACCACTAGAAAGGAT